CAATGTAGAATCCCTCTGACTCTTACTTCATTTTCTTAACTATTTATGATTCTTTGGGAAATGTTCTCCACTTTTAAGGACTCATGTCAGAACATGGAGCCACTGGATAATCCAGGGTAAATCTCCTCAACTCAAGTACCTTAAGCTAAGCATGTCTACAAAGTCCCATTCACCACGTTAGGTCATATATTCAAAGGTTCAGGGGATTGGGATGTAGGCGTTTTTAGGGAGCCGTTATTCTGAATACCAAACATTACTAGCACTAATATTTATTCGGAATAAAATTGCAGCGATAGATAGCAAAGCTTTGTAAATGAGGTTTGACCTCATTTGAGCCTGAGGGGAAAAACAAAAAAAGGAAAGAATGAACTGGCAGGTGCTCTTTGGAGGTCACACACAAGGCAAAGCTTATGGTCCCAATTGGGCCATCCTCTCAGAGCTGGGCAGACACTGTGGGTGGTCTGCCCCAGGCTCTCCCCTACCCAGCGCATATCTAGGACTAGTCATGAGATTACACACAGGTCAGTGATTGTGTCTATGCACCCACTCCACTCTAACCCCAGGATGGCCATAGAGTAGCCTCACCCCGGGTTAGGCCAGGCCCTCTTATGGGAGAGGAGTTTGGATTTAGCTTTAATATTGTCTATGCGACGGGGGCCTCCTCTGCTTTCTTCTGACCCATCTGCCCTGCACTAGCAGCTTCCACATCCCTTATCACTACACAGGACATCAGTCTCCCCACCCAACTCCCTGGGCCAGACAGACAGAGAAATGCCACAGGCATGCTAGGAAAAAATCACCACAATCCTGACACTGACACTTGGCCTGGCTTTGCCCCTTGGGCTGCAGCCACTTGTCAGGACCAACTGTCCAGGCCTGTGTGTATCCTCTGTGGGGATAAAGGTTTCGACCTAGGACTGGACCCTCCACAAGTCCAAAGTCCTCTTCCTGGACCCCAACCCACAGGGCTTTATACATTTGAAAGAAAATTAAGGAATGTTCATGCCATGCCCTATTGCGGTCTTACCCCAGAGCTGTCTGTATCCAACACTCTCTTTAGTCCCAGGGTCTTATTGCTCCCAGGAAGGAGAGACAATGTGCCTCCAGGTAAGAAGGAACAGACACATGGATGTGCCCTTGGATGAAGGAGAGACCAAGGGTATAAAAGAGGAATTGAGTGAAGGTACAGATGGAGTTTCTGGACAGCTTAGGGCTTTTTTTAAGTCCAGGAACTTTTTCAAGTTTATTGACATACAAACTATATAAAGAAATTTGTACTTGTGATAGGTGTACATCTGTGTGAAATTTTTTTAGGTTCACAACCACTCTTACCAGCACCCAGAGCAAGAGACAGTCCATGGAGAGCACCTCAAAACTGACAGTACTTGATGGTCTTGGGGAGGTAGGATGGTTTGGAAAGGCTGGTGACATCTGTAGCCTGCTAGAATTGTGGGGACTAGAATGTGGGCAGTTTTGTATGCTGGGGAGGGTTGCTTGCTTGGAGAAGCCAGAGGCTTTGAGAAATTGGAGAGTTCATATTTTGGGGAAGTTTGGATGTGTTGATTTGAGGAAGGCTGGAGATTGAGAGTGATTGTGGGCTTGGAGATTTGGATGGGCTTGGAGATTTTGGCTTTGTGGATGATGTGGGATCAGGGGACAAAGGAGTATTTGGAGAATTTTAAAGAAATTAGCCATTTTGCGAGTTGAAGAATCTGGTGGATTGGTTCAGGGCTTGATAAACTTGAAGTGAATGAGATTGGTGGCTTTGGGGAGTTAAATGGACATGGAGATTTGAGCCTCATGGAGAATTTGGGATTTGAGGAGCTTGGAAGGTTTGGAAATGTTGATGCCTTAGGAGAGGCTAGAGGTTTGGGGAGTTTGATGTGTTCGAGCCAGTGGGTATATTTGAGCAATGTGGTGTGTTCAGGAAGTTTGCAGGTTGAAAGTGATGAATGGCAAAGGGATATTGGTGGATTTGGGGCAGTTGGTGGACATGGGACATTATCAGGCTTGAGGAGGTTGATGGGCATGGGACAACGGTGAGTTTAGGGAGGTTGAGGTTTTGGTGTGTTTGGTTTTAGATGTTGGTGTTTTTTGGAAGGTTGCAGACTTGTGGAACTTGGAAGCTTTAGGGATGTATGTAGATTCATGGATGTTGGGGTGTTTGGGAAGATTAAGTGTTTTGGACATTTTCTTGGGCTTGAAGAGTTTGAGAGCTTGGGGAATACTGTTGGGTGTGGTGAGGATGGGGTTTGGGAGAGGTTATCAGATTTGAGGAGGCATAGTTTTTTTACATGGTTTTGGGGAGGTTTTGGAATTGGAGACAATGCATGTTTTATGGAGGTTGATGACTTAGGTGTGTTTAAGGGGTTGGATAAATTGGTAAATTTGAGGATTTTAGAAATTTGAAGAAGGTGGTTGGCTTGGGGAGGATGGCAGGCTTGGGAATGGGGACAGATCCCTGTTGAGTGACACAGATGGAGTGCAGAAGGCTCTAAATTTGTGGTTCCATTTACATTGATTAGTACCATAGGGTAGGCAGGTGCTAATCTTGTTCAATTTTTGAACTTGATGAATGCAGGGCTGGGGGTGTTCCATTCAAAACTATGTATCTCGGAAAGCATCCAACCCTTTCACTGTGGAAGTCTATTTGAAGAATGCAATAAATGCAGCTAAGATCATCATTCCTCTTCTCCCAATTCCTGTTCCCAACCCCATAAGGGTATCAAAGACAAGAAGAGTGACAAGCTAAAGAAGTGGCAAAGGATAGGGTGACAGAGCAAGGACTGAAGAAATAGAGCAGAGAACAGCATGATGGGGCAGGAAACAAAAAGTACGAGCAGGGAGCAGTGATATCAACCAGAAGAGAGCATGGAACAAGGTGAGGGGGCATAGAAAAGGCAGAAGGAGCAAGGAACAGCAAGAGGGGGCAGGTAATAGGGAAATGAAGGCACTGCGCACTCAACCAAGGGAGCCAGTCACAAGTATACAACTACACAAATGCACTACAACTTGCCTTGTTTCTGCTCACAGTTGTGATCCTTTTCCCAGCCTAATTCCCACTGTATATATGCAAGTTCAATTTCCTAGCATTCAGGAAGTCCAGAAGGAAAAAACCCCACACTGTGAGAGTCATCACAATGTATCAGGATAGGCATAGACAAGTTCCTAGTAGGTTATGAATTGTCAGTTCCAGAGGCTCAAGACATCCTGGGCCAAGTATAGACCTAGATGTGGTTTTCAGTGCTAGGAATATAATGTTCTAGTGACCTCATGAAAGAAAATGTGCATAGAAAGGGACTCTTTCCTGGGCTTGCGGGTGGGGCCCAATATGGAAGTGTTCGTGCAGACAGTGAGACGGCAAGGATCTGGAGACTGATCAGTTCACCTCAAACGAGGACTTTCTCATTGGGGATGCCCATTTGGGGATGTAAGCACAATTATTCTCCATAGCAGTCATATACATGAACTCAAATACCCTCTGTTGCCTTGATCCTCTGTAATGAGGATTGAAAAGTATTTACATGAATCCAGGGTCTTACTATTTCACCAGGATTCACTGGACTCGAGAAACTCACTCTACTCTTTTGGCCAGAGCTGTTTTTTAATGTCTTGTATTTTGGTGGAACATGGATGAGGGAGGAGTTGTTTACCTGATGATGTTAATTCACGAAAAAGCATATTCTTGCTGACATGACAACGACCATGGAATTTAGCAGAGCACGCTGAGGGAAAGGGAGTCACAGGGAACCCCTGTTGCGAAGGGATGGGAGAGTTTACCCCTCAATCTCCTGAGGAGTGAGTACTCAGAGTCTGTTTCTCCTAAGATTCTCCAACGTAATGAAAATCCTGCGGGCGTTGGAGCTGGGGGCTTTGCCCAGCGGGGCTCCGGACGGGCGCCACTCGGCTGGCCTGGGGGAGAGAGTGGGAAGCCAGAAACCAAGAGAGAGCAAGGTGAGAGCGACAAAAAGGCAGAGAGAGAAAGCGAGATACTGGAGGAGAGAAAACTAAAGAACGACTGAGAGACACAAAGATCTAGAGAAAGACAAAGAGCTGAAGGAACAAGGAGGAGGGCAGACAGAGATACACAAACATAGACACGGGAAGAAAGACAGAGATGCAGAGCAGAGAGACAACCAGAGATAGAGAGAGAAAAAGACAGACACGGAGTAGCAAGCAGAGACATTCAGAGCAAAGGAGAAGGCGTGTTCCAAACCCGCGCTCGCCCTCACACTAAAATTGTCGGCTAGGACCCCCTGACGCCAACCGGGATAAAAAGATCAGACGCAGCGGCCCCACTCCTCTTTCTAAACTGGCGCAGACACCCTCCAGGGGCAGGTCCCAGCGGCGGAGGCGTTGCGCCTCCCCTCACCCAGCCAATGGAGGTGCGCAGAGGCCGGAGGGGCATTTTCCTCAACCAACGAGGACCCAGAAGAGTCTCAAAGCCACGCCCACATGCGCCCAAATTATGCCCGGGCTCCTATCTGCATAGATCCGCCCACAGAGCCCTGTTTTCGGAAGTGAGGTCAGCTTGGCCTTTTGCCCATCTGGGCAAACCCTGGTCAGCCTTTACACTGCCTTCAAAAACTCACTCCCCCGCTCCGTGAGCATGTTCACGGCTCGCGCTTCCTTTTTCCACAGGCCGCCGAGCCCTGTGCCTGACTGAATACTTCCTACTTCGGAGAGGCCCGCCCCTCGCTTTAGCAGCCGGGTCCCACAGCTGGCCAGGCTGCGCACAGCACTCCGATTGGAAGCGGCGACTGTCCGTCAAGCATACCTCTCTGCCCAGACTCTTCTCCACTCCCCTTTCATCCCCCCGCCTTTCCTGGTGGATAAGGGAGGGTGAAGGTATCTCAGTTTGGGGGAGCACGTCTATTGGTCGGGCACGGGTACCTATCATGACGTAAGGAGCCGGCTTCTCTTGATTGGGCCATAAGGGAGGCAGGGCCTCCCTCCATACTCCGGATTGGCTGAACTTGAGCCGCGCCCCCCTCACGCCGACAGACTTCAGAACAAGACGTGGGCCCGGCCGGCCTCCGTTGGCCGCGCGAGCCAGGGCGGTGGGAAGGAGTCCAGAGGGGGCTCACTGGGTTCCCAGCCAGGCCCGACTTAGATCTGGGAGTGGCGCGCGCCATCTCAACGGTGAGGGAACACCGGTGGGCGGCGGGAGGGAGGAGTCGGGCGCCGCGGGGAGTCGATACAGCTCTGCAACCGGAAGTGTCTTCAGAGGGGCTTCGCACCCGGAAGTGCGGCAAGACAGCAGCTGCACCCGGAAGTGTGATGCTGCCGGGGCTACGGAAAGTAATGGTACCTGGCCAATTGAGATACATGGGGTTAAAACACGTGTTTATGTACCTTTATTTCCCGAGGCTCAGCAGAGCCTCCCTTTTCGGAAAGTGTTGGAGGGTGCAAGTATTTGGTCATGTGTTTGAATGTCTCGTCGTGTTGAAACCCGAGGGGAAACGAGCACTAGAAGTGTGTCCAAGGGGCCAGGCTCAGTAGAGGCTTTAAAGAAGTTTCTTTTTCTGCCTGTCAATCTCAATTCCCCTCCCCCACAGGGATGTGCAGATGGAGGCCGGAGGAGACACTGCTGCCCCAGCCCCCGGGGACGCGGAGGACGTGGAGGATACGCGGTTCCCCAGTGAGGAGGCTGGAGACGGTGGAAGTGTTCACGAGGGCCCGCCGGATCCTGAAGACGAGGGCCTGGAGGATACAGGTATGTCTTCCCCTCACTAGGGTCTTGGATGGAATCCCTAGGGGATGTCAGTGGGGGACCAGTGAGGAGTCTTTGGGGACTCAGGAAGTAGCTTAAATCATAGCGGGATCAGTAGGAGGTCATTGTGGACTCACGGTTTAGTTTAAATCATTGAGGAATGAAAAGGAAATCAGTAGGTGTCAATGGATGTTCACTGGGGACTTGCTGTGAGTTTAGATCTTTGAGAAATCAAAAAGGGGCAAGTTTGGGTCAAAGAGGGGCATTGGGGATTTAGAATGTTTAGGCCAATGAATGACCAAAAGAAAGTTAATAGGATCAAAGGGGGACTATTTAGAAGTCAATGTCTTTGGGGCTAGAGTGTTATTTAAATCATTGAGGTGGGAAAAGGGGTCATTGGGGGCCAATGGGCACTCAGACTATTTACATCATTGAGGAGTTAATGGTGAGTTGTTGGAGGGAGTCTTTAAGGAACTAGATGTTAGTGGATGTTAATGGTGATCCTTGGTGGGGAGGCAGTGGACATCAAGAAGGTTATTTGGAGAAGTCAGAGGACCAGTAGAAGGGTCTTTGAAGACCCAGGTGGATGTGTGAAGGTATTTGGTGGAGAATCAATGGGATTCATTGGGGAATCAGAGCTCATTGACCATTTTGAAACGAGTGGGTGTTAATGGGGTCATTAGGAAGGATCAGTAGACATCACAGAGAATAAATAGTGGGGGGGGGGAGGTCTTTGAGAACTTGGGAATTATTGGCAAGTAATGGTAGGTATTGGGAGGAGATAATTGGCAATTGGGGGCACGGGGGGGTGTGGTCAGTGAATGTCAATGAGAGAATGAGGGAATACGAGGTCATTGAAATTCTATGGGAAAATTGTTGAGACACAGTTGCCAATGGATAATAATGGTTGTCATTGGGAGATCAGTGGACATCGACTGGAATAAATGGGAGGGGTGTCAGGGGAGTCAGTAGGGGGCAATGAAGTTGTGGGTTTCATTGGTGATTGTTATTGATGGTTATGGGGAAGGGCAGTGTAGGTCATTATTAAAGTCCTGTGTGTTGGTGTATAAAATAGTGGTTATTGTAGGGAAGAGAATGGATATTAATGAGAACAAGGCGGGTTAGGGGAGTCAGTGGAGATCCTTGAAGTCCTGGGTGTTAGTGGAGATTAATAGTGGTCATTGGGGAAAAGGCAGACTGCAATAAAGTCGAGGTCATTGGAAGTCTTGGATGTTAGTGGAGGTTAATGGTGGTCATGGTGGGGATGGAGTGGACATGGAGTAGAATAGATTGTGGGTCAGAGGAGTCATTAAAAGTCATTGCAAACCCAGGTATTAGTGATGTTAATGTGGAGTCATTGCAATGTTAGTGAACAGCAGTGGGAATAAAGAGGAGGTTAGGGGAGTCCCGAAGATCTGGGTGTTAGTGTATATTCATGGGTGTCATTGGGAGAATTAGTGGTCATCACCAAGAATGTAAATGGGTGACCAGGAGAGTCAATGGGGTCATTAGGGATCAGTGGACATCAATGAGAATAAATAAGGGATTAGGGTGGGAGGGGGGCATTAAAGATCCAAATATTGGTAGATATAATGGTGTCCCTTGAGGGGTGAGTAGATATCAGGAGAATAAACAAGGGGTCAGAGCTATTAATGGGGGCTTATTGAAAATGAATATATTACTGGTCATTCAGAGGCAATGGGGTGCTTTGAAGACTTCGGAATGGCCCTTATTGAAAGGAGTATAATTGGTCTCTAGGGATATAGGGGGTTCAATAATGACAATGAGAGATTGGATTATTGCGGTTTTAGGGGAAGCATGGACATCATTGAGGGGCAGAGGAGACACCCTGGAGGTCTGTGTCTGCATCAGGGGTCATTGGGGGCCTGGTAGGAATTTAGTGGGTCCTTGGGCAGACGGAGTTAGTGAAAGTCCACAGGCAGATGACCCAACAGGGGTTCCCTTTCAGGATTGGAGACCAAAGACCAGCCACCCAGCCTGCTGTCACCACTGCCGCAGTCAGAGGCCCCATCATGCACCTGTGGGCTCTGGGGTCCTGCAGCCTCTGAGAATAGTCCCATGGGTGGCCCTGAGAGTGGCTCTGGGGGCCAGGGCGGGGACCCCAGTGACGAGGACTGGCGCAGCAAGCGGAAGCACGTGTTTGTGCTGAGCGAGGCAGGCAAGCCCATCTACTCGAGGTACGGGAGTGTGGAGGCACTGTCAACTACCATGGGTGTGATGACAGCCCTCGTGTCCTTCGTGCAGAGTGCAGGAGACGCCATCCGCGCCATATATGCTGGTGAGCAAAGGGGTACGAGGCAGGACAGGGGGTGGTGACTGGGAATATGGCTGGCTGACTGGCTGTAGGTCTGTCTGGCTGGCTGCCTGGGGGACTATCCAGCCAGTCAGAGGTGAGTCAGTGTGTGTGAATGGCTAGCCAGGCATCTGTCTGTCAGCAGGGTGCATCTGTCTGTCTGGCCTGCTTGGTTCTAGGTGATTAACTTACTGGAATCTTAAGTGACTGGATGGATACTTTCTTGTTTATCTCAAAGCGTGACTTTGGGGGCTGTGTGGCTGAGTTGGGTGTCTTTCTGTCTCTCTTGTCAGTCCTTGCTCCATCTTCCTCCGCCCCATGCTGTGTGTCTAACCTGATCCCTTGACCATCCCATCACATGTCTACAAATGTCCAGCTTGTCATTGCCCTAGTCCAAGTGTCCATAGACCAACCGTGTGAGCTCAGCCCAGGGATGCATGTGTTGGGGGAAAGGGCAGAAGAGCCCCACCTGACTCCCTCCTGTCACCACTGACCCATCTCTACCCCCTGCCCCATCCTTTCCCTCCCCTCCCCCAGAGGACCACAAGCTGGTGTTCCTACAGCAGGGCCCCCTGCTGCTGGTGGCCGTGTCAAGGACTCCTCAGTCAGCATCCCAGCTGCGGGGGGAGTTGCTAGCTGTGCACGCACAGATCGTGAGCACACTGACGCGCGCAAGCGTGGCCCGCATCTTCGCACGCAAGCAGAACTATGACCTCCGCCGCCTCCTGGCCGGCTCGGAGCGCACGCTAGACCGGCTTCTGGACAGTGTGGAGCGGGACCCAGGTGCCCTGCTCCTGGGCGCCGTGCGCTGTGTGCCCCTCGCTCGCCCGCTGCGGGAAGCGCTGGGTGCGCTGCTACGACGGTGCACAGCACCCGGCCTGGCACTGTCAGTGCTGGCGGTTGGCGGTCGACTGGTGACAGCAGCCCAGGAGCGGACTGTGCTGGCCGAGTGCCGGCTGGACCCAGCTGACCTGCAGTTGCTGCTCGACTGGGTGGGCGCCCCGGCCTTTGCAGCAGGAGAAGCTTGGGCACCTGTGTGCCTGCCCCGCTTCAACCCCGATGGTTTCTTCTACGCCTATGTGGCCCGCCTGAATGCCATGCCTGTCTGCCTGCTGCTGCTTGGCACCGACCCTGAGGCCTTCCATGACATGGCCACCTGCCGGCGCCTGGTTGAAGACGGCATGCACACCCTCGGTGCCATGCGTGCCCTTCGGGAGGCTGCCGGCTTCTCTAATGCCCCCTCAGCCAATGCCCCTGCCTACAGTGTGCAGGCTGTGGGGGCACCCGGCCTCCGGCACTTCCTCTATAAGCCGCTCGACATCCCTGACCATCACCGCCAGCTGCCCCAGTTTACCAGGTGGGCCCTGACCCTATGGGCAATTGGCCAGGTGGGAAGGCTTATCTAACTGGAAGGCTCAGCATCTCGGTAGACCTGACGGGAGAGAGAGCCAGCCATGCTCTAGAAAGATGGAATAGAATGGGGCTCTGTCCGATGTGGGAGGCTCAACCACCAATCTCAAGGGATCCCTTATTCTAATGCAGAAGCGGGCCCCAGTACTCAAGGAATCCCCTAGTTTGATGGGGAAGCTGGGCCTGTAGCCACTGAGAATCCTCCAGTCTACGGGGGGAGGCTCAGCTCCCTGACTTAATTGAACTCCCTTGACTGAGGAGAGATGGGCCAGCCGGGAAAGCCCTAGACTGACCTTGTCCCCCCTTCCTCCATCACTGCAGCCCTGAGCTAGAGGCCCCGTACAGCAGGGAGGAGGAGCGGCAGCGCCTGTCGGACCTGTACCACCGCCTGCACGCGCGTCTCCACAGCACTTCCCGGCCCCTGCGCCTCATTTATCACGTGGCTGAGAAGGAGACGCTGCTGGCCTGGGTGAGTCGGGTAGGGCTCTCCAGGAGTTAATTCCCCACTTCAGGCCTCCTTTCCCTCCACTGTATCCCCTCTGGCCATAATAGCCTCCCTCAAGCACTCACGCCTTTGCCTCCAACACTTGTCCCTGCCATTACACATGTGTCTTGGAAACCCCTGAGGATCAATCACAGTGTCTACAGCTCTCCATTAGCCCCATCATTCTGTTGCTGTTCCCCCATTAGCAACCAGTACGGTGTCTTGAACTTGCAAGAGCCTCTGTTAACAGCTATCACTGTGCCTGCTGATTTCCCATGAGCCCCGCCTGTGTGTCTGCAGGCACCAGCTCAGTTTGGACTCCTGAGTCCCCAGCACTCCTTGAACACTACAGGCTTGGTCCCGCTGTGCCTTCTTCCTGGGGTATCCTTCCCTAGGTCTCTTCAGGGCTCCTGTCCTACTGGTCTATTAAAGGTCAGCTCTTCAGGAAGTTTGGTCAAGATGACCCCATTGGAAACAGCACCTTCCCCCAGGCTCTGCCATTTAGCACACATTTATTAAATCATTTATTGCACACCTATTGTGTATCAGGCATCGTTCTAGGCTGAGGATTTTATTTAAAATTTTTTACTTAACTTTCATTTTCAAGCAATTTTAGACCTACAAAGAAGTTGCAAAATACTGGAAAGAATTACTATAAATAGGTCCTTCACCTAGTTTCTCCAGATGTTAACATAACCACAGGAACTTATCAAAATCAGGAAATTAATATCAGTACAATAACATCTAATCCACAGACTTCATTTAGATTTCACCAATTGTCCTACCTGACCTCTTTACTGGTCAAAATCCAGTCTGGGATCACATGTTGGATTTATTTATTGTGTCTCCTTAGTCTTTATCCTGGAACTATTCCTCAGTCTTTTTTGTCTTTCGTGACCTTGGCACTTTTAAAGAATACCAGCCAGTTAGTTTGTAGAATGTCCCTCAACTTGGGTTTTTCTAATATTTTATCATGACTAAATTGAGGTCATGCATTTTTGGCAAGAATATCACAGAAGTGATGTGCCCTTCTCTGCCTCATGTCAGGAGGCCCACAATGTCAGTTTGCCCCACTGTTGATGCTGTTATCTTTGATCACTTAAAGTGGTGTCTGTCCGATTTCTCCACTGTAAAGTTAGTATTGTCCCCCTTTGTAATTAGTAGATATCTTGTGGTGATTACGTCAGTGTCCTATTTTTCATCATACTTTCATCCACTAATTTTTTTTGGTGAGGAAGATCAGCCCTGAGCTAACATCTGTTGCCAATCCTCCTCTTTTTGCTGAGGAAGACTGGCCCTGGGCTAACATCTGTGCCCATCTTCCTCTACTTTATATGGGACGCCGCCACAGCATGGCTCGATAAGCGGTGCACAGGTCCGTGCCCGGGAACCCATGAACCCCGGGCCACTGAAGTGGAGCACGCGAATGTAACCATTATGCCACTGGGCAAGCCCCTTTCATCCACTAATTTTACTATCCATTAATGATTCTTGCCTTCAGCCGTTATTACTCTGGTGTTCACCAGATGGTGATTTTTCTAACTCCATCATTCCTTCCACATTTATTGGTTGTGATTCTACTAAATGGAAGAACTTTTCCTCCTCCTATATGTTTGTTGAATTTTTAATTTTATATCAGTATGGTCTCATGGATTTTTCTTTAATTCAGTGGGCTAAAAGCCTTTTCTGTCATTTACTGTTATGCTCCAGTTGTCTCTGGTTTAGCCAGTGGGAACTGTGATTTCACCACACTGGCCCCTGTGGCTTTTTGACATGTCCCCATCACTGCTTGAGCACTTCTTACTTTCTGGCACAAGACATTCCAAGCTCATCTTGTACTTTCTCTGTGCTAGTCCTGAAATCAGCCACCTGTCCAAGGAGCCTTTGTACCTTTTAGTGGAGAAGGGTATTTCAAAATCAAGATACACTAGGCCCAGCATTTTAAATTGGGTGGTCACGGGATGCCTCAGTGAGGAGGTGGCATCTAAGTGGGAGGGGAGGTAGTGGACCATGTGGAGGAAGAGTACACCTGGTAGAGGGAAAGGACTCTGCAAATGCTGTGAGGTGGGACTGAGCCTGGTTATGTTTGAGGAACAGAAGGGAGAGGCTAGAGTGGCTGGAACAGAGGGAACGAGGGGGAGAGCAGTGAGAGGTGGTGCGGAAAGGTGTGGTGACCTGGTCAGGTTAAATCTCTCAGGTTGGTGTGAGGATTAAATTGAATTAATCCTCATATTATGTCCAGGCTACAGAAGATGAAAACATAGGTGTGTGGAGCTTAGAAGAGGCCCTTGTATACCACAATTGCTCATTAAATGTTAAGAATTATTGTTATACCCCGTCTACACATGAGCAAACTGAGGTCCAGAGAGTATACACACACACACACATACAGCAAGGATCACCAAATTGAAGCCACTAGATCTAGCTGATCCTTTGGCCAAAGTGAGAACCCCAGGCCCACCCATGACACAATAATGTCAGCTTACCTGCTTTAGCACAGTGACCAGGCAGCACCAGGTGGGAGCTGTTGCCAGTGCATCTTCCCAACAGGAGACAGGCATGAGGCTATGGTGAGGGGACAGGATTGGGCATGGCCAGCTCCAGTCCAGCTGACTGTCTCCTCTCAAACCCACAGGTGACCTCCAAATTTGAGCTCTATACCTGCCTCAGCCCCCTGGTGACCAAGGCAGGTGCCATCTTGGTAGTGACCAAACTCCTGCGCTGGGTGAAGAAAGAAGAGGATCGACTCTTCATTCGTTACCCACCCAAGTACTCCACACCCCCAGCAGCCCCAGCTGCCTCCACGGACCACGCTTCCCATAATGGCTTGTTCACTGGACCTTGAGAGGCAGAGCTCCCAGATTGGGAGGGACCACCTTTGGCTTTTACCTTCTGTCTCCACCCTAGAAATGGGGCAGGGGTGGGAGGCTGGTGGTGTCTGTGGCTGGTGCCTGTCTCCCTGGACAAAGGGGCAAGATCTGAGGGCCTGCCCACAAATGAGAGATGGGTGGCAACATGATCGCACACAGGTGAGCAGGCTGCTTCCCCAGCCCCCTCATGCAGCTCCACCTCTGGGGAAATCCTTAGGCCTCCCCCTTCCCCTCCCTCTGCCTCACCTTCTCCACTTGGATGATGTTCAAGCCTCTGCCAGGGGTTGCCTCCTCCAGTCCTGGGCACCACACCTGCCCTGCATGGGGAGTCTGCCTCCTCGATGGGATCTCAGCCCTGAGTGTCCAGAACTGGCCAAGGTCTCTCTGGGGGCCCACAGGGATTCTGGAATTGGGAATGCAGGGCCATCCTGTGCCTGGAACTGGCCTGAGGATATTTTAAAGAAAAACTTTACACGAAAGGTCTAAAACCAATCCCCACAGGGACACTCCTTTGCCCTTCATGTACTTCATCTTTATTTTGTCAAAAATACCCCCATCAATGTTGGCTGCTGCTAATATTAATGAGAAGGTGACCTCCAGGGTCTACCTGCTGTGTAACCCAGGGCAAAGCCCCTGACCTCACACGGTGGCTAAGATCCAGAATTTTTACACAGGAGGTGCACTTGGCTTCTAGGCTCATCGTACTCATCCGTGAAATGGAGATGACCTCTCATAGGCTGTTCAGTGAGGATTTGTGAATGAAAAGGGACTCAAACTCTTGTTTACCACCGCAGAGCACGTGCACATTTGTCCCAGCCCTGCACAGCCTGCACAACACAGGCAACCTGGAGAGGGAAAGACCTCTCTAGAGTATGTGTGGATTCGCACAACACCCACTCTCCAACCGACCGAGACCAGTAATTCTGGCCTCGTTTTGTCTCGTGGTGTACGCATGCGCACTGTCGCTCAAGGGCTCGGGGCGCTCCGCCTGCCGGGACCTGAGACCCCGTTGCTCCTCCTCCTGGTCAACTGATGGGTAAACGCGCACTGCACGCATGCGCGCTGCAGGGCCTTTCACCCTCGAGTGTTTTTTTTTAAACCAATCGTGTTCCAAGGCGCACGCGCGCAAGCCCCGCGTTGGAAAATGGCAGGAAAGTTGAAGTCTTTGAAAGTGGAGCCGCCGGAAGTCGTGGAGGACGCTGAAGGTAGCGAGGGCATGCGGGCCTCTCCCGCCAGGGCGGAAGGGAGGGAGTCTTTCCTCCCATTACAGTAATGAAATATTGATAGCAGTGCTAAAAAAAAAAGGGTAAAAGAAAATACTGGAGATAAATAACATACATATTCTCATCATCTAGATTAACTCTTGTCAACTGTATTGGATATATTGCTTAAGTATTTTAAAGTACACGATAGACTCAATACTTCAGTATGCATTTCTTCAAACGGTTAAAGGGGGTGGATGTTCTTACAAAAATCACCCTGCTGCCGCCATATCTAAGAAAATGAACAATGATTCCCCAATATAATCATTTCACACCCAGCCCATACCACACTTTGCATGGATTCTTTAATCTTAATTGGGAATGGCCGCTTCCGCAGACAGCTTCTTTTCTCCAGGGCATTTTGTGGATAATGACACCCCACCCCTTAGAGAGAGGAAAAAGAATTGTCCTAAAGACAGTTGGAAACTGCAGTCTAGCCAAAAGAAGAAAATGTTCCAAGACAATGAGCCACTACTATGCCACTAGCATTTTTTTAATTATAGAAATTTTCAAAATGTAGCAAAGAACAGAAAATAGCATGATGAACGCCCATGTCCCCATCACTCTGTTTCATCAGTTGTCAACTTTCTGCCCTCCTTTCTTCAATCTCTAACCCCTCTTCCTGCACACTCTTTCAACTGCTGTATTAATAAACCTGTTGGATGGCATCTTTCCAGACCTATATTTGCAGACATCAACAATAATAATGATGATTTACTTGTTTATTGTCTGTCCTAGGATGTGAGCTCCACTATTTACTGCTGTTTCCCCAGCACCTAAAATAATGCCTTCTTGGCATATAGGGGGTGCTCAATAATTTTTTTTTTACTGTATGAATAATGGAATAACTTTAACACTGAGAGCTCTCTTAGATTACGGCCACACGTTGAATGCCAGCTTTCAACAAAGGACAGACAGAAATAAGATAGATGCAAATAGATCTCATTTATTAAGCACTTACTATAGCTGCCACTGTGCTAAAAAACTATGGTAGTATCAATCTTTCAAATTCGTCAAAATTGAAGTTATTATTAACTTCACCAGCAATGGAGAAAATTTTAAAGCATATCAAGTTACCATTTCTAGCCCATCAAATTGTCTTTATAAAGGGAGGAATAATATTTAGTATTGATTACTTTGTGGGGAACAAGGCTATCTCTTGCCACCCTGGGAGAACTGACCAGTAAAGGCTTTGCTGGAGGCAGAATATTTTTAGCATCTAAAATGCTGTTCCGGGGCCAGCCCCATGGCTTAGCGGTTAAGTGCACGCGCTCTGCTGCTGGTGGCCCGGGTTTGGATCCCGGGTGCGCACTGACACACCGCTTCTCTGGCCATGCTGAGGCCGTGTCCCACATAACAGCAACTAGAAGGATGTGCAACTATGACATACAACTATCTACTGGGGCTTTGGGGGAAAAATAAATAAAAATTTAAAAAAATAAGTAAAAATAAAAAATAAATAAAATGCTTTTCCATATCTTTAGTCACCATGCTTGGTAATCAGGAGACTACACAGGTATGTGGACCAGGAAGGGTTTTTGGAGCGTTGTTGGTGGAAACAAAACACAAGAAGCAATCACAGAAATGGCTAAATTTAGGTATATCCATGCATATTGTGGAATGCTCGTGTGGTGAACTTTATTTTTAAGTGACAGAAAAAATAATTAACCTCCAATTTAATTTAAAATAATTAAAAATTAATTTTTGAAAGGATAAGCTCATGATTTTCCAACATAGAATGAGCTCCAAAAGAGATCATATTTTTATGAGAGTAAAGCACGTTGGGATTAAAAAAAAAAAAAAGGAAGGGCAGTGTCAACTACAGCCCTGTGTATGTTGCGCAGAAAAATGTCTGAAGGCTAAAGACCTAACGGATGACTGTCAACAAGGGACTTGGATTTGGGGGGCTGGGCAGAAGTAGAGACATTTTTGTGACTTTTGTTTTGTTTTTTAGGAAAGTGTAAGTAGTACTATATAATGTTAAAATAGAAAAATTTGAATGGCATTCGAGGATCATATATTAATATTGATAAATATTAACATCCCGGTTTTGATTGTTATACTGCGGTTACCTGGTAAAGTCCCTTTGTATATCAGAAATATACACTGGACTACTAAGGAATAATGGGCCATGATGCCTGCAATTTATGGTACAGAAACGCTCACAAATGGGAACTGTGATACAGGGCAAATAGGAGCACTGTGGTCTGTTTCTACGACTTTTATCTATATCTGAAATTATTTCAAAATAAAATGTTCAAAAAGGGGGCTCATGCTCTACAAGACTTTTTTTTTTAATCTTATCAGATGTTGGATTATTTAAAAGATTTACTGATCACCCATGATCTTACTCCATGACTGAGACTAGAAATGCCGTGGGGAGGAAAAACACAGAGCTTTCACAGAAATGGTTGCAAAAGCTAGCTGTCAAGGACATATAGGGACAATCGGGGGAAATCACGTGTCTTCTGGGTATTGGATGATAGTAATGATCCAATGACTAGTGATGATTGTTACTCTTGTCGGTGTGATTGTAGGATTGGAGTCATCTAAGAAAATGTCCTGAAGAAGTTGAGACTCTTAGTGAAGTAATGAAATGTCATGAATCCTGGGGTCTGCTTGAAAATATGGGTGAATATTAATGATTATCAGATCTGGGTGATGAGTAAATCAGAGTTCATCATGGTATCCTGTCTACTTTTGTGTGCATATGGAAATTTTCATAATATTTAATACTTCAAAATACTGACAAAACAAATAATCACAAACACTTCCCCTTATTATTAGAGGAGCTTTAATTTTTTGGTTTAATTTCTAAATATTAAGAGTATTTAAAAAAATTTTAAAGTCTAAAAAGGAGACATGCCCACCTATGAACAGTGATTATATCAGAGAAAGGCAGTTAGATTTAGGCCCAAGGAGAGAAGGGGAAGTTTCATTTTGAACTTCACATATTTCTGTAGTGTTTGAATGTTTTTAGAATGTTACTTGGATAAGAAAGTAAAAAAGCAATACATGAAATACATTTTACTAAAAAATCCAAGTATCGTCACCAAGCTGTTGGCAGTGGTTACTTCTGGGAAGGGGCGTGACTTGGAGGAGGGGCTGTTGGTGAGGGGAGACTTTTACTTTTTACTCCATGTTCTTCTGCCTTTGTTTATTAAGCAATTAAAAACTTCAAATGCAAAATTAAATTAATGCATACTAATTTCTAAAAGGTTTCAGGCAAGACAAAAAGGTGTAAAGAAAGTGACCATACCCCCAAACATTTCAACAAAATTTAATAAGATCATGGTAAGAATCCCTGATTTTTAATGGCTGCAAAGAATTTTATCTTATGAATGTGCTATAATCAACTAAGGTATCTTTAGGTCGCTTCTATCGTTTAAGATTACAAAATGAACATCTTGCTCACAATCCTTAATTATTTCCTTTAAGATAGATTCCTAGAAGTGGAATTGCTGATCTAGAGGACTTGAGTAGGTTTCTATATTTACTACCAGGAAGTTTGAAATGAAATACTGTTTTTGCCTATGAAATTGGCAAAAATGAAAAAGATTGAAAACATACTTGGCTGGTAAGATTATGGGGAAGGAATCATACTGTTCAGGCCTGCCTGAAACAGCTAGAGGGCAATTTCATAATAACAGTCAGATTTAATAATATACATGCCTTTTGATCCTGCAGGTAGCCTTCTAAGAATTTATCCAGTAATACGCTCCCATGTGTGCACAAAGAAGAATGTACAAGGATGGTATACTGGGTTGAATTGTGTCCCCCACAAATTCATGTCCACCAGAACCTCAAAATGCACCTTATTTGGAAATAGGGTCTTTGTAAATATGACTAGTTAAGATGAGGTCGTTAAGATGGGCCCTAATCCAATGACTGGTGTCCTTATAAAAAGAGGGAAATTTGGACACAGAGATAGACTGAGAGAATGCAAAGTGAGGACAGAGCCACGCACAAAAGGAAGCCCCAGTTTGTGATACTTTGTTACAGCAGCCCGAGAAAACTAATAAAGATGATCCCTGTGGCATTGTGGGGAAACAACCTAAATATACGTCAGTAGGGGACTGCTTTTAAATTATGGTATATCCATTCAGCAGACCACTATGCAGCCACTAAAAAGAATAAAAAGATTGCCAGTATACATTGTCAAATTATAGAAATAATATTAAAGGTAACACAGGCTCATGTTAAAAAATATTTAGAAGTATATGTGATGAAAAGTGTGCTTGAATCAGGATCCAAATTTTTTTAAGGTCTATTCATTACAATTGATTGATGTACGTCTCTTGTCTCTTTTATCTCCCCTCTCCCTCTGTTTCTTCTTTGCAACTTATTTGTTGAAGACACAAGATTGTCCTGTGGAGTTTCCCAGAGTCTGGGTGATGCTGATGGCACCCCCGTGATGTCATTTAACATGTTTCTTTGCCTGTTGTGTCTCCCCTGAATTGGTATTTAGACATGGAAACCTGATAAGATTCTTTTTGTTGTTGGCAAGAATCCTTCATAGGTGGTGTTATGTTCTTCCATCAGGGGCTCGTGATATCTGGTCGTCTTTTTTTGATATTAGCAGTCATTAATATCTATTTCCTAGATCCATCAGTGCTTTAAGAATTTGCAAATTGTGGCCTATAATTAAAGAAATTCATATGAAATCTTTCTGCCCTGTTAATTGGTTAGAACTTCATACTGATTTTGAACAGCAGCAGCAGCAGCAAAAGTGCATCCCCTTTACTCATCCCTGAGTTTCAGTAAGGGGATGTTTGTGGGGTGCTTTGACATCTCAGGGAGAAGCTGACCATTAAGGGTCCTGATTCATCCAGCACACACCACAAACCACAGGGACAAGGGACCAGGTCCTGCAGGGTCTCTACTCTGGCTGGAAACCTGCCCCTCAGCCTCTCCTTGGTTCCAGCCAGGGGTGTCTGCAGAACCCACTGGGACTTTCTCCCTCCTTACCAGGTAGGCCTGGACCTTTCCTCAGTCCCTCTTACTCTCTCTGGATCCTTTAATTCTGGTTTTCATCTCCCCAGGGCAGACCAAGTCTTGGAAGAAGACTGAAGACCTGCTGGCAATGGTGAAAAAGCTGCAGAAAGGTCACATGTCTCCTTGTGTCTGAGGTTTGGAGTCAGGCATGTGGTGCAAACCCAGCCCCTGAACTCACGACCTTGGAAAATTATCCCACTGCACTTTCTCCCTCTTAGACTATTTAATTCTTTGAACCAAAAATACAGCTTCAGACTTCAAGCAGTATAAGAGGATGGAAAACCCTACCCTCTTAAACAGACACAGACACACACACACACACCACCCCCCAGCCGTCCATTTCCCTCACCCAAAGGCCAGCAGTGACCATTTTTTAATTCTTAAGTATTTTTCCAGAGATGTATTTTTAAATACATCCGTGGGTGTGTATTCTTTGCCCGCCCTTTGTATATACAAATGGCAAATGACAACGCAAATGGCTTTGCACCTTGCTTTGCTTGTTGAGGAGGCCTGGGGGCCAGCCTGCATCAGGGTTGTGGCAGAGTGCTGGCTGGGTTTGAGGTTGGACCCCACCCCCCCAGCCCCTTCACAGGTTAAATTTTACAATCCATTTATCTGTTCCAAACGAAAGGAAACTCCCCGCCTCCTCCTGCCCTGCGGCCACCTGCAGAAGTGCATGGCGGCTGCTGCCTGGGCTAAAATTGGGTAGAGAAATTGCAAGACTGGAAATGCAGAGTGATTCTGACCATCTCCAGTAAAGAAAAGACCCCCAGGGATCTGTACGTCATAGTCAGCACCTTTGAAGCACCCACTTTCCTAGAAGTCACTGGAGGTCAAGTTGGTGGCCTCAGAAAATCAAGGGCTTGAGCTTATCAACTTGAGTGTCAGGCGTTGGTAGTGAGACCCAGCAAGGGCGGGGATGCTTTCTGCCCCAACTCCACGCTGCCGACCTGGAAGCCAGAGAGGGACAAGGAAGAAGGCGCCTTCAGACAGCACTGAAACTGGGGCTGTGGGAAGTTAGAGAAGGCTCTCTAAAGAGACAGTGATCTCTGGAGAACTTGAAAGCTGTCACCCACAGAGTGAAAGCAGAATTTTTCCCATTTAAATGAGGCCAATACCAGAGTCAGACGGGTGGAAGTGACGACCTGCCCTGCTAGGCTTTTAACAGGGTGGGGCAGGCGGGAGGTCTTCATTGGCTCCTCCACACTCAGATTTACATCTAGAAGACTCCACAGTGTCCCAGGAGGCCTGTTACCTACCACCCTCACTTCCCCCACCTCACCTTCTCCTCCCCTCCACTTGCTCACTAGAGTCACACCGGCCACACCAGCCCCTTAGCCATTACTTTGGGCCGTGCCTCACTGACTCCCACTGCAGGGGTGACTTGTTGTCCCTCTGCCTGACATGGTTCCCCCTCCGCTCTCCCCAGCCCCACAGTACTGCAGGGCTCCTATCATAGATCCTTTTCAATGTCCAGCTCTCCCACCCGGAATGCAAGCCCTGCAAGGGCCTCTTACAATGCCCAGCACACAGCAGGCACTCAATAAATGCATGCTGATGGACAGCAGCAGAGACAGAGTGCCAACACCCACCCCCTCCATCTGCCTTGGACAACCAGGCATCTGTCTTCTCTGGCTCCATCTTGCTTTCCTTCTGCAGAGGGAAGCCTGGAGCCACAAATCGAAGACCTAATTAACCGGATTAATGAGCTTCAGCAAGGTAAACTCTGGGACCTAGGCTGGCCAGCTGGCCAGGAAGGACCTGGACTCTGAATGCCTCCACTTCCTCCAAATCCAGTCTGCTCTAGGTTGTTTGAAGATGGGTGTGCAGTGTCATGGTCTGCGAGAGAATAGCACGCCCAGAGGCTGCACTCACACAATGTCTTCTTCCCTTCTTTGGCCCAGCAAAGAAGAAATCCAGTGAGGAGTTGGGAGAAGCCCAAGCTCTCTGGGAGGCCCTGCACAGGGAATTGGATTCATGTAAGTGAGACCAAAAGAGGGACCCAGAGATCCATGACCACTGCTGATGTTCCTGTGTACACCTTGGGGTCTTCACATGGGCTATTCTCTCCACCTGCCACGCTCGTATCCTACATCATGCAGATTGCCTCTTGCTATCTCAAGTCATCTTTCAGCTCTCAGCTCAAGCTTCCCCCTAACAGGTTTACCTTGATGGTCCCATCTAAAAATGGAATACCACCTTCTCTCTGTCACTGTTACTCTCATACTCGATTTGTTTCTTCACAGCCTTTATTTCCGCTTGACATGGTGTTTTTATTTATTTCTAGTCATTTCTCCCCTCAGTATAAACCTTGTGCATTCTGCAGAGTCTTCACTCCTTTGGCAATGTAGGCACTGATGGGGAAAAGCTGGATCAGGATGGTCCCCAGAGGAGATGGGTGCAGGGTGGCAAGAAGATTCCTCACCTCCGCTGGGGCTGTACCATACCCTCTGTGTGACCTTGGGCATGCCATTTGCATGAAGTTGCAATGGGGGCATAGGATATGCCCGTGGAGGCTCAAAGTGTCACTGTGTTTTCCAGTGAATGGAGAGAAAGTGCACCTAGAGGAGGTCTTGAGCAAAAAGCAAGGTATTTACCAGCTGCTCTGCCTTCATTATTCTACCCCATCACTCCACAAAAGCCCACAGTCCCTAGAACAGCCAGAGGAATCCCACTGAACCTGAGCTTCCCCTCTGCTCAGATCTCTGCCTTAGCTGCCACCTGACTCAGAGTTAACACTAAAGTCTCTCACTGCCCTCCAATGCCCCATCTGATGTGGGGCCCATTACCTCCACCCAACCTTGACTCTCCAAGAGCTCTCACAGGGCACCCTTGGCTCCTCTCCCCACAGAGGCACTGAGGATCCTCCAGCTGCACTGCCAAAGCAAGGAAGGTGAAGCTCAGAGGTAGGAGGTCCTGCCCAGCTCTTCTCCACCTTATTCCCCAGCCTGAAGGAGGAGGGAGCAAGAGCTAGGGAAAATACATCTTGGACACACACTCCTCATTTTCCCTTTCTATAAAAGGGAGTAGCTAGACAAGAGACTTCCCTGCTCATCTCTGATATTAGGTGGTGGTGTTAAGATTAACTCACTCATTTAATCATTCATTGCTAGTTTCTTTATCAAATTTCATCCACTGGTATTATTCTGTCTTCCCCTATTGGTTTTCCAGCTCTTCTGCCATCCATTCATTTGTTTATCTGTCTGCTAATTTAGTCATCCATTTACCCACCCATCCATCTACCCATCCATCCACCCACTCACCCATCCATCCATCCACACTTCTATCCTACTATCCAACCCTTCAGCCAGCCAGCCAGCCAGCCAGACATTATCTCTCCAGCCTTCCACCTAATCATCTTCCATATAATCATTCATTCATCCTCTCTTCATCTTTCCAGTCATCTGTTCATCTGACTGCTCATTTCTTCACCCAGCCATCCATCCAGACATCTATCCATCCTTCCAGCAATCGTTCCTTTATTTCTCCATCCAGCCATCATCCCTCCACTCATCATTTCTCTAACTAGCCATCTTCTCTTCAGCCAGCCACTCACCCATCCAATTAACTGTCCATCCAACCATCTACCCATCCATCTCTCCATCCTTTGAACCTTTACTTAACACAGTCCTGTGGCTAGAAGTCTCACACCTTGGTACACCATGATTTTAATTGTGTTGGAAAACCTGATGATGGATAGTTAAAGTGTGTGTATGCTTAACCACACCACACATACATTGTCTGATAAGCAGTTTATGTTCATTTATCAACCTAATCCTCACAATGACAATTGTAGGAGTTAAGGGCTAATGTCACCCTCCCACCACTACCACCATTTTACGTAAGAGGAAACTGAGACCCAGAGAGTTTAAGTAACTTGTCCAGGGTCACAGTGGAATAGCAGATCCAGACTTCAAGCCGGGACTTTAGAGTCTGTGAAACTAAACTACTGTCCCCCCTCACAAAGTTTTCTTGGGAAGGCATGGTTTAATGGGGGACAGGGTGGTGGTCTCAACAGAGGCCACATTCAATCAACAGAAGAAAGGAGAATGAAGAATGTTATGAACAGACTCCACTCCTGCAGGAGGGAGTGGGGATCATTCAGAGAATATGACCAAGGGTTTGGTCTTTGCCTTCCCAGGAAGCATGCGTTGCAGGAGTGCCCGGAGCAAATTTCTTTCCATAACTCTCAGATCGCAGAGAGTCACAGACAGAGGAAGCTGGGGTAACCACTGGGGTAACCCTGGGTCTAGGGCCTGGTTTGGCTCTGGGTGGGGAGTGGGAGTGGGGCTTGCATCAGGGAGACTTTGTTGGAAGAGGAGCTACTGGAACCAAGGCTTGGAGGATAAAGCCCATAAAGGGGCACCTAGCAGAGGGAGCAGCAGGCAAAGATCTGAAGGCCTGTGCACCAGAAGCCCCAGACCGGGCTAGGCGGGTGTCAGTTCTCTCTTTCCTGGGTGTCGGCCCCTAGGTTGCATGTGGAAGAACAGCTGAAGGACTTGATGGACCAGCACAAGGACCTCTGGGAGTTCCATGTGAGCCATCCTCATTGCCTCCAACCAAAGCCCCTCCTCTCCTGGCCTCAGTGTCTCCTCTGACTGGCCCGGGGTCCACCTACTGCTCAGGCCCAATGCTATGGGATAGTCCTGACTCCTTTCTTCCTCTCGCCCACCCACTGAATCCTTCAGCTTTCACCTTAAATCTGGCCACCTCTCACCATCCCCCCTCCACACCCGGCATCCATTGCCCAGACTGTTGCAGTAGCCATCGCTGATCCTGCTTCCCTCCTGCTCACCTAGAGAGTGCTCATCTTGCCGTGGCAAATGGGAACCCTGAAAAAGCAGTGGTCAGGGCATCCCTTCATTCAACTAATATCACTGCATGCATCTGGCAGCATTCCAGTCAGGAGGAGGCAGTGGGGAACCAAAGGGGCCAAATCTGTGCTGTCCCCGGGATGGTTGGGGGCAGGGAAGGCATACCCAGACTCTATACAAGAAAATAAGTAGATAGATCATGTAATGTCAGTGGGAAAGGCCTCTCTGAGCAGGTGACATCTGAATGCAGACATGAAGGAAGCAAGGGAGGAAGCCATGCAGGGATCTGGGTGCAGATGTTCCTGGCAGAAGGAAAGGCTAAAGGTCCTGAGGCTGAACTGTGCCTGGAGCATTTGAGGAAGAGCAAAGGGGGTGGGGGGGCAGGGGATGAGGAGAGTGGGAAGAGATGGTAAACGGGGACATGGGGAGCGATTGGGAAATGTGTCTCCATCAGCACCCAGTCACAGCAGAAACTGCACATTCAGTTAATAAATAGTTGACTGAATGAATGAAAGACCTAATTCAGGTAAGGACTTCCCGAGAGCGCGAGGGAGGAGAGGGCCAGGAGGACAGACAGACGGACACGGCTCCTCTCTTTCCTCACAGATGCTGGAGCAGCGCCTGACCTGGGAGATCCGTGCGCTGCAGAGCAGCAAGCAGCAGCTGCTCACTGAAGGTGGGACTCCAGCGCCGGGTCGGGGGGCGAGGGGGCGGGGCCTGGCCGCTGGAGCTCCTGGCCCCGCCCATGACGCCCCCCGCCTCCCGCAGAGAAACAGGCGCGGGCCAAGCTGAAGGAGGTGGGGCGGCGGCTGCGCTCGCCGCCTGAGGTCGAAGGCGCCCTAGCAGTGCATGACGAGTGAGAGCGGAGAGGGGATCTAGGGAGGGAGAAGGGGCCGGGAGGAGGGCAGTGGGCCGACGTCCCCCCGCAGCGCCCCCGGTGTCCCTCCCAGAAGGGCTGGCTCGGGGGCGGGTGGGCTCTCCCCCACACCGGCCTCCTTTGGCGTCCGCAGGTCTTAGTGGCTTCCTCCGGTCCCCTCCACACTCGCTCTCTTCTTCCTCAACTGTCCTCTGCCCCTTCTCCGCAGGCTGGAAGAGGAGCTGGGGAAACTCGGGGGCCAGGTCCCCGCCCAAACCCAGAGCACCCCAGAGGGCGGGGCCGGCCTGGGAGAGGTAGGGACCCGGGGTGGAGGCGAGGCGGGCACAGACAGAGCGGGCGGGAGTGTCCCGGGAGGCCCTCTGAGAGGGGTGTGTGGAGGCAGGGTGCCCGCGGGGGGCAGTGGGAGGGGGACAGGGCACCGGTGGCCGCGGGCCAGCGTAGGCGGACGCCGGGGCGCTCAGCTCCCCGCCCGCAGCCTGACTCCCGGCTCCCGCAGGCCGGCCTGGAGCGGCCGGGGAGCTGGCCCTGACGCTCTCCTAGGCCAGCAGGACCCGCCCCGTCCCCGCCTTCCTACAAGGCCCGCCAAGAAATAAAGGCGATGGTTGCGGACCGTCCTCCACCTCCCAGGCTGAGTCTGTGCGCCAGGAGTCATGGGGCGGGCCCCTAGCTCCTTGGGGAGGGCGGGGGCGAGGGGTGGTGAGGGGAGAAGGAGGGGACACCGGAGAGAGAGAGGGGTCCAGGGCACTCTGGGCGGGGCCTCGGCCGGCCTCCACCAGTCCCTTGGTGGGCTCCCGCAGAAGCTCAATAAATGCTCCTGAGCGGCTCAATGAATGAACGGGTGTCAAGGCCACTCCGTCTCCACGGCCTCATCTCGGGTTCCTGAACCATCTCTTTTACCAACAAGAGCCGGAGGGAACGTGTTAAAAACCTATGCGAGGTCCTGTTGGTCTCCTGTGGTTCAGAGTAAAACCCCAGCCTCCCAGAGTCCGGAATTCCCCGCAGACCCCCGCTGACCTCTTGGACCCCTCCGACCTGCCCGCCTACCTGGGCTCCCCCTCACATGTTGGATTCTAGCTGCACAGCTGCTTTCCCACTCTTCTTCAAGCACTGTGTCATCTGAGGGCCTTTGTCCTGCTGTGTCCTTATGTAGGATGCCCTTCCCCCGCGTCTCCTCAGACCTCAAGTCTGTCAGCTGCGCGAGGGGCTGGCCTGGAGGACCCAATTCCAGGTGCCACCATCTACTAAGCAGGTATGGATTAAACAAGCATTTGCTGCCTGTCTGCCGGGTACCAGGCACTATCGCAGGCCCTGGATTTTTAATAGCGTGGTCAGGGAAGGTCTCATGGTGGACGTGGTGCCTGAGCAGGGAGGTGAGGGGGCAGGTGAGGGAGTGAGCCATGTGGGTATCTGGGGAAGGATGCACCTGCGGAGGGAGTGGCCACTCAAAGGCTGTGAGGTGGGACTGAGCCTAGTTGTGTTGGAGGGGCATCTGGAGAGGCCAGCGTGGTGGAGCAGAGTGAGGCGAAGAGGGAGGGCAGATAATATTGGAGACTTGCTGGGGACCTGGTCGAGTTGGACCTTGTCTGTCTAATCAGTGTGGTCTTCTGAGAATAGGAGCTGGCACACAGCAAACCCTCAGTAAATGTTCACTGTCACTTACTATGATGATGATTCATTATTTTTCCCAACCCATCAGTGAGGGAGACCGAGGTGTGTGAGGCACTTAACAGCGGTTTATAATCTGTGTCTCATAAATGGTTCATATCATTTTTATTATTATTATTATTATTATTATTCCCAGGCCGCAGATGAGGAACACCAAGGTGCGTGTATCTCTTAGAACAGAGATTTTTATGCAATAAATGCTCAGTAAATGGTACCTATCACTTATTATTCTCATTACTAGTCTTATTATTCCCAATCTAGAGATGAGGGAAATTGAGGCAATGAATGTGTACAGTCAGCCCACAATAAGTGTTGGGTCTCACTATTGTTTCTGTTATTATCCCAAGTCCACAGAGGAGGCCCGGGAAGCTTTAATCCCTGTCCCATGGCTCACACCAGGCCCAGCTGACCGCAGGCCTGGGTTCCAATCCCCTCCCCCACTGACACTGCCCCTCTGCCTTAGACTAGCCTCCAGGGATCTTTAGGGAACTTTAGTATCTTCTTCATCATCCTCTCTGTGTCAGACAAATGAGAACAGCCTGGATATTCTGCTGACTTACATTTTCCTCCTAGGATTCAAATCCTGGCTTCCCTGCTCACTGGCTGAGTGACCTCAGCAAATTGCTTAATGTCTCCAAAACTCAATTGCCAAATGTGCAAAATGGTGATACCAACCGCGCAGAACTTATAAACCTAGCCAACTCCTCACTCCTCGAGGAAACCTCCCTGAACCCTTGATAAGCTAAATTGTCCCTCATGTGGATATGGTGTGGTACAAGGAGACGGTTGGTGCCAGGGATTGTCTCTCCCAGACTGAACTCTGTGAGTGGAGACTGACCAGACCCACTTTGTCTCCCTGGGTTCTAGTAAAAGGCCTGAAAAAACACTAAAAATAGCGCCCCTTTCAGTTTCCGCCTGTGTGTTTTTGCACGTGTATGAAATGCCGCTGAAATCCCTTGAATCTGAAGACTATTGATGATTGTTAATTGTTTCCCTGTGCTGATAGTTCTTATTCTTAACCATTTTCCTTCTCCCATCTAAAATAAATATTGGTTTACTCCACATTCCTGGAGTCCCCAAAAGCTTTTACTTTGGGTGGTAGCTTCTTTACTCTCACACATCTCCCTTTCTCATCTGCTTTTCAGTCAAGAGCAGTTATTAAATATATTCCCCCGAAAGGAATGGATCAAATGGTATTCTAGTCAGGGAATATTTTTTAGCCTTTTCGTCTTTATTCTGTTGGGATTGTGGGTTTGGAAGGGGAGAGAAAAAGAACCAGAGACTGATATTTGGGAATGTTGAACAGCAATGTGAGAACTGCGCCTTTGAGAGACTGAGTCATCGATTAGAGCTGTGCCATCCAGTGTGACAGTGACGGCCACATGCGGCTGCTGAGCACCTGCAGGTGGCTGGCCCCAATGGAGACGTGCCCCAGGTGCAGAATATACACTGGACTTCAAAGACCTGCAACAAGAAAACAAATTTAAACATATCCTTAATAATTTGTATATTGATTACATGTTTAAATGATAATATTTTGTGAATAGTTATATTCATAATACTTAATGAATATATTGGCTTAAATAAAATATTAAAGTTAATTTCACCTTGTTTTGCCTTAATTTTTTTTTTGTGTGTGAGGAACATTGGCCCTGAGCTAACACCTGTTGTCAATCCTCCTCTTTTTTCCTGAGGAAGATTGGCCCTGGGCTAACATCCGTGCCCATCTTCCTCTACTTTACCTGTGGGACACCTGCCATAGCATGGCTTGATATATAGCATGGCCCCTGCCTTAATTTTTTAAATATGGCTAATAGAAAATTTAAAATAACATATGTGGCTCACATTTTATTTCTGTTGGACAGTGCTGTTTTATTAGAGAGTATTGAAGGGGATGGGGCCATCTGCTGTGCTCCTGGCCCCTTTGTAGCCATTATCTGTGGACCACATCGTTACTGGTCCACTGAATGTCCTGATCTAGCTTGATCCCTTTGGTGCACGAACACAGCGTTGAAGAATGCAGCAGTGGTTTTTCAAGTGAGTGCTGACTCTGAGATGGATGGACATGTACACAGAGCACACAGCCAAGGCTCTGTATCCCAATCTCTTCTCTGTGTATGTATCAATGTGTGGATGAAGAGATCACATAGTCTTGCATTTCAGAAAACATTTTGAAACCGAACATGAAGAAGTAAAAATCTTCCCTAGAGCGAAAAACTTGGAGATAAGCTTTGCTAACTGCAGCTGTGCATATTCAGCATAATCAACTGTTGTTTAAAACTAACCAGGTCTTTCTGTCCCTCCTTAATACAGGAGTGAGCTGTCTTTCCCAGGAAGTCAAGGTCCAGACATCAAGATTCAGCCTCACAAGGCCAAACATAGGCTGAAGATGAAAACTAACCAGAAAAGTCCAGAAAGTCAAGGGAAAAGAAATTCAGTCTTCAAGGCCAAACGCAGGCTGGTGGGAAGGCACCAACTAGCAAGGCCACATGCTCTCCCTCCCCTTTCTAAAACCCCAGCACACGCTCTCCCTTCCTTACCTAAAACCCCAGATAAAAACCCCTACCTTTTTCCCTTTGACGAGGTGGATCTGAGTTCTAACTCCCATCTCCTCGTCTGGCTGCCTTTCGATAGTAAACCTCTTTCTTTGCCACAAACGTGGTGTTTCAGTTTTTTCTTTATGGGCCCTACTATGCAGCAGGTAAACGGAACTGTGTTTGGGATTCAGTAACAATTTGGTGAGCCGGCCAGGAGACTCTTTGCCCATGGCTCCACAGCCCTGGGCCAACTGAGATTTCCTGAAAGGAGTCCAGCAGCTGCCTAGGTGATTTGTCCTAGGGACTGTCCTCAGTACTTTCGGTCTGACCCGGCCCTGCTGGCCCTAGGTGCATTTTTCTTGTGGCAAGGAAATAGGCTCTAGATTTGTTTGTTTGTTTCTTTGTTTGTTTCTTTTGGCTTCTGGTTTGGAACTGACATCCTTTTGGTGAGTTTCTTCATTAAAACCAACCGAGTCCCATTTTTCCTTTCAATGTTTGCCTCTGTGTCAGGGGTTTTGTCCCAGGTTACTGGAGTTTGTTCAGGGGGCTCCTATTTTGTTGAAAGGACTAGGGATCTCACTCAGAAAACTCTGGTCCCCATTTGTTTTGGTTAAGTTGCCTCATTAAAACTTACTGAGTCTTATTTTTCCTTTCATCTGTTTGCCTCTGCTTCAGGGGTTTTGTTCCAAGTTGCTAGAGTTTGGTTGGGGGGCTCTGACTTTGTTGAAAGGACTAGAGATCTCACTCAGAAAGGACTAACTCGGAGCTCCGTTTGTTTTGATACTTTTGTGTGTGTGCGTGTGTGTGTATGTGTGTGTCTGTGTCTGTGTCTGTGTATGTGAATGTGTAGTTTGTTTGCCTCTGTTTCAGGGATTTTGTTCCAGGTTACTGGAGTTTGTTTGGGGGGAGCCCTGATTTGTTGAAAGGACTAACTCTTGGCTCCATCTGTTTTGATACTTGTGTGGATATGTGTGAATGGATATAATGTGTGTGTATGTGAGTGATGCCATAATGGGAAACTTGGTTTTGATTCCCAGTGGCAGCCCTCTGGGTTATATATTGCAAAATTGGGATGTTTTCAGTTATAAACCTATGAAAAAGAAAAAGATTAAACAATTAAATTTGGGCTATCCGCTTCCTCTCGTGGTCTTACAGATGTTAATGAAAACAAGTTAACAAAAGAATAAAAAGAAGCCAATAGAAAAATAAAAGGACTCTTCTCAACAAGGTAGAAATTTTTTAAAGTTTTTTTTTAAAAAAAAAAAACCCTATTGGCCCCCCAGCATTAAAGGACCTCAAACAAGCCCATTCTATTCACCCGAGTTTGGAAAAAAAATTAAAAAGCAAGAAGGCAGAAAATCACAATGAGAAACCTGACCAACAATTGTTTG